AAAGGTGCGCATCAGGACGGTGGATTTCACCCAAACATACTGACCCTCTCACTCAGGAAGCGGGAGGCCGGCGGCGAGAGAGCAGCAGAGGCGGCGGCTCCCGCACTGGACTGGGTCGGAGAGCAAACCTCACGGGGCTCGGAGCCGCCCACAGACACACGGCCTCCTGCGCACACACCAGCGAGCATGAGAGGACAGGAGCACCAGCCACAGAGCTGCTCATCAGAGAAATCCTAACCCTAACCTAAACCTAACCCTAACCCCTAACCCTAACCCTAACCCACAGACACACAGCCACCTGTGCACACACCAGCGGGCATGGAGGATGGGAGCACCGACTGCAGAGCTGCTCATCAGAGAAATCATAACCCTAACCCTAACCCTAACCCTAACTCTAACCCCTAACCTTAACCCTAACCCTAACCCCTAACTCTAACCCTAACCCCTAACCCTAACCCCTAACCCTAACCCTAACCCTAACCTTAACCCTAACCCCTAACCCTAACCCCTAACCCTAACCCCTAACCCTAACCCTAACCTTAACCCTAACCCTAACCCCTAACCCTAACCCCTAACCCCTAACTCTAACCCTAACCCCTAACCCTAACCCTAACCCTAACCCCTAACCCCTTATCCTAACCCCTAACCCCTAACTCTAACCCTAACCCCTAACCCTATCCCTAACCCTAACCCTAACCCTAACCCTAACCCCTAACCCTAACCCTAACCCCTAACTCTAACCCCTAACCCTAACCCTAACCCCTAACCCCTAACCCTAACCCCTAACCCCTAACTCTAACCCTAACCCCTAACCCTAACCCTAACCCACAGACACACAGCCACCTGTGCACACACCGGCGGGCGTGGAGGATGGGAGCACCGGCTGCGGAGCCGCTCATCAGAGAAAGCTGTGGGGGGGCTTCAGGCAGTGCCCATTTCAGAGCCAGAGGCGTTACAGGGAGAAACAGGGTCGTTTCAAACCATCAGGAGAGACCAACCCCACCAACAGGTGCCCTCACCCGGGAGGCCGAGCTGATTGGGACAAACGGGGTGATTTCAAACCCACCCACCCCAGCACTCGGCTCAGGAGCGAACAGGGTCCCTGGAACGCGTTTCCCAGGCCGTGCGTCTCAGTGTGTGTGACACGTCTGGAGCGATCCAAAGCATGTCCTCTGGCCACGGCGGAGTCACGGGAGACGTCACTAACAGGAGGGTGTCTTTGCAAACCCAGTGATCCACGCCTTCATGTCCCACGGACAGAAGGAGAAGCCAGAAGGAGAATTAAACATCCTTTCAGCCTGAACGGACATGAGAAGGCAACACTCCAAAACCGGGGCACGCAGGAAAGGCGCACCTGGAGAAGGAAGCAGAGGGAGATAGTAAAGAGCACATTAGAAATCAAGGCAACGGGAAGAAACAATAAAGAAAATTAATGAGAACAAGAAGCTGCTTCTTTGAGATCAATAAAAATCGAGGCCTCGCCGGGGTGGCTCAGTGGATAGAGCGAGGTCGTCCCCACCAGGAGAGAAGGCGGGCAGTGAAGGGGGTCCGGGCACTGCTCACAGCGGCTTCCTTTGCAGGAGCCCCGAGCTGGACACGGCCCAGACGCCCAAGGACACGCGAACGGGCTGCTGCACGTCCTCTCGGGGCCCAGCGGGCCATGAAGAGGAGGGTGTGGCTCTCTGGGTAGAGCGTCAGCCTGTGAACTGAAGGGTCTCGGGTTCAATTCTGGTCAAGGGCACAGGCCTGGGTTGCAGGCTTGATCCCCAGTGGGGGGCGTGCAGGCGGCAGCCGACCATGATCCTCTCTCATCATGGATGTTTCTCTCCCCCCCTCCCCACCCCGCCGCTTCCTTTCTGAAATCAAAATATATTTAAAACATATATATTAAAAATGAAAAAAAAAAAAAAAAGAGGAAGAGCTCTGCACAGCAGCACAGACAGAGCAATTGTGCTGAGGGAGGAAGGCCCGTTGGAACGCAGACCGTGTGGGATGCTGGGAAAAGCCCGTGGCTGGTGGCGGAGCTGGGGCAGCGGGAGGTGTGTGTGGGGGTGGGGGCGCGAGAGGACAGAAACATTCGCTACAGACAGCGGTCACGGTTCCATGTCCGACTCGTCAAACATGATCCAACGGCAATGCCAGACCCAGGGCCGTCCTGCCCTGGCTGATGTGCTCGGTGGCTGAGTGCAGCCATGACTGAAGGCGCCTGAATGAAGGTCTGATTCCTGGTTGCCGACTCGATCCCCAGTAGGGGGCGTGCAAGAGGCAGTGGAGCCGAAACCGGTTTGGCTCAGTGGATAGAGCGTCGGCCTGTGGACTGAAGGGTCCCAGGTTCGATTCCGGTCAAGGGCATGGGCCTTGGTTGCCGGCACATCCCTGGTGGGGGTTGTGCAAGAGGCAGCTAATGGATGGTTCTCTCTCATCGATGTTTCTAGCTCTCTATCCCTCTCTCTTCCTGTCTATAAAAAATCAATAAAATATATTAAAAAAAAAAACACGAGGCAGTGGATTGGAGTTCCTCTCTAAAATGATCAATACAACCATAAAAAAACACACAGTGAAGTAAGTACCTCTCTGCCCACTTCTGAGAGGCACGGTGCCCCGTGGGACTGGGACTTGGGGGCCCTGGTACCACACCTGCAGCTCTGGCCCGTGTCCTGGACAACAGGTCACGCTGGCCAGAAGCTCCGCGGCAGTGCAGGTGAGCCGGCCCGCCCCCGGCTGGGCAGCTGGCTCCGGGGCTCAGGTGACCCCAAGCAGCGGAGGCAGCCCAGACCCCGGCACCCCAGGCAGGCCGGCTAGGTCCTCCCCGCCAGCCCTCCTCCGCCTGCCGCCGAGCTCTGGGAACCTCTGGCCCCGGGCTGTGGCCCCGCACCCGGCCAAGACCAGACCCGCACAGCAGCCTGGTGGCCACCAGGCGACACAGGAGCCAGTCCTGGTGGACACGGTGACTTTCCCCTGGGGACAGAGGGACGGGGCAGATGACTGCCCTCCAGCCACAGCCACCTCCCTTCCAGGGGGCAGCTGCTGGGCCCGGAACCCGCGCCGAGGGGCAGCCTCGGATGTGCGCTGCCGTTTTGACAGCAGCCAGAGTGCTCGGGGCTGGGGAGGAGAGGGAGGGAGGGCCGCCCACCTCCCCTTCCTGCCCCGCGGGGTCTGCGCTCGCGTTTGCTGGCCCTGCTGACCGAGGAAGGACGTGGCCTGCCAGGGAACCCCATCCCCTCCCCTCCCCTCCCCGTGAGCGGGAAGCTGAGGTGGCCCCTGGCCCAGCAGGCGAGAGGCTGTGCTCTGCCCTTGGGGTGATGGGTCCTGACACCGGGGGCACGGTCAGGACCTGCAAGCTGAACTGTGCCCCCCAAGTTCCTATGCTGAAGGTCTGCCCCAGCACCCCAGGAGCCGTCCTGTTCGGAGACGGCGCCTCGGAGAGGTGATGACAGAATCGTGAGCAGGCCCTACTGCATGACGTGTCCTCATACGTGGAGGTCAGCAGTGCACAGCCGGCCACGGGGATGGCAGAGTCCGAGAGCCTGTCAGCCCACACGTGGGTCTTGGCTTCCTGCCTCTGGGAGTGAGGAGACCCATTTCTGTGTCCGCGCCGCCCCGTCGGCAGTGTGTGTGTGTGTTAATATATTTTTATTGATTTCAGAGAGGGAGAGACAGAAACACCAACGATGAGAGAATCATCGATCAGCTGCCTCCTGCATGCCCACTACTGGGGATTGAGCCTGAAACCCAGGCATGCACCCTAGGTTGGAATCGAACCTGGGACCCTTCAGTCCACAGGCCGATGCTCTATCCACTCGGCCACACCAGCTAGGGCTCCTGGAGTGTCCTGTTATGGCCGCCGGAGTGGACTCAGATGGGGCTTCGTTATGGGGTCACAGTGGTCGGTGGGCAATGGTGTCCCACAAAGACACAGCCCCCCCCCCCCGCCCTGGCCCCGAGCCCTCAGGCGTCCACACGGGGAAAGGATGTGGGGAACCGGTGTGGCTTTGGGGTTCAGACGGACACATGACCACACTGGTGTCTCCCCCCACGACAAGGAGTTGGTGGCCATGACGATTCTTTTCTTAGAAATATATTTTCATTGCTGCCAGAGAGGATGTGAGAGGAAGAGAGAGAGACATCGGTGAGAGAGAAGCATGGATTGGCTTCCCCTGCACGCCCCACACTGGGGACGGAGCCCAAAACCATGTGCTCTGACTGGGAATCAAACTGCCTTCTCCCGGTTCACGGGCCGACGCTCAACCACAAGCCACGCGGGCCCTGCTGACTTTCCACAGAGACGCTGGGTGGGCCGTCTGCGGTGGACGGGCCTGGTCTTCCATCTGCCCTTCCAGACCCAGCCCCTCCCAATCTGCGCTCAGGGCAGCCCAGAGGGCGGCGGGCAGGGGTGGGATCGGGCCGTCACACCCTCCGCTCCACCCGCAGGGACTCCAGGCCCACAGCGAGCTCCGGCCCTGGCGGGCTCTCCACACCCTCTGGTCTGCAGCCAGTGCTCCCTCACGCTCTGTCTGCGGGAGCACGGCGCTGAGGGGCTGGGGTTCTGTACGCCCGTGGCCACCCTGCCCCTGCCCGCAGCTCTCCGGATATCCCCAAACTGCCCCACCTGAGCACACATCCGTCTCCCCCTGGGCCCAGACAGACGGGGAGCCAGGATGCTCGTGGGAGCGGGCACAGCCCACGGGCGCCTTCTCTGCTGCTGCCGCCCAGCCTGCCCCACCTGGCAGGTGCAGGGAGAGCCAGCTGGGCCTCGGGAAGGGGGTCCCTCCTTGGGGCAGAGGGTGGGGTGGGAATGGGGCCTGCTGTCCCTGGTGCTGCCAGGGCCCTGGCTGGGCAGGCAGCAGGAAGAGCAGTGCTGGGCCTCCGCCTGCTCCAGCCTGTCCCAGCCGTCCGGCGAGGCCAGGTGTGGAGGGCACTCCGAGGGGGTGACGGGCAGGGCAGCTGCTGCGGGCCCAGCCCGCCGGTCAGCACAGGCGGACGCCACGGACAGCAGGGCCTCAGGGGGCAGAGGCCTCCCGGTACCGCACTGGGTCCGAGAAGGGGCCGGGCCGGGCCCAGTAGTCCACCGCTCGAACCCGGTAGGAGCCGGAGACCACAGCCGTGTCTGGGAACACAAAGGTACACGCTGTTCTGGAGCAGGGACCCCTGAACCCACATCCAACCCCTGGCGCCCCCTGCGCGCAGGCTTGGCGAGGCCCCGGCCCCCCACGGGCACGGGCACGGGCACCGGCGGGCGGGGCCGCACCTGGGCTGAACACGAAGAGGTTAAAGGTGGACGGCTTCCGGGGGACGGGCGCAAAGGCCTGGCCGTCCGGGGCGAACTGGACCTCGTACGTCCACAGGCACCTGGGGGTCAGGAAGACAGGGCTGGGGTCCGGGTGGTGGGGGGCACTGCCCGCTGGGAGGACAGGCCGCCCTGAGGAGGGGAGGGGGCACAGGTGCGTGAGGGAGAAGCTAGCCTCTGGGTGGTGAAGCCTACATTGGGGTGACCACGTGGGCGGCGCAGGCGCTGGGGGAGAGGGGGGCGGAGGGGAGGGTGGGGGGCAGGGGGGCGGAGGGGAGGGTGGGGGGCAGGGGGGCGGAGGGGAGGGTGGGGGCAGGGGGGCGGAGGGGAGGGTGGGGGCAGGGGGGTGGAGGGGAGGGTGGGGGCAGGGGGGCGGAGGGGAGGGTGGGGGGCAGGGGCGCCCGCACTCACTTGGAGGCCATGCGCTCATCCGACCAGACCAGGAGCAGCTGCCCGCGGGTCAGGGGCAGCGTGCGCAGCTGCGTCACCTGCAGAGGGAGAGGGGGGGCGGCGTGAAGGGCAGGAGGGAGGCGGGCGGGGTTGGGGAGGGGGGATGGGAGGAGGGGGAGGGGGAGGGGAGAGGGGGAGTGGGAATAGGGGGAGGAGGATAGGGGGAGGAAAGGGGACGGGGGAGCGGGAGGGAGGAGGGGGAGGACGGGGGAGGGGGGGGACGGGGGGAGGGGTACGGGGGAGGGAGAGGCGGAAGGAGGGGAAGGGGGGCGGGGAAGGGGGGCCGGGCCCCTTGCCTGGCCGGGCGGCTCGGCGGGCCGCGCGCACACGTGCACCAGCAGCAGCGCGGGCAGCGGCAGCGCGCGGCGCAGCGTCAGGCGGCCGCCGGCGGGGAACGGGCGCGGCGCGGTGGCCACGGGGTCCTGCGGGCGGAGCGGGGCGCTCAGGGCCCGGGCGGAGGGCGCCCGCCCCGCCCCGCCCGCCCGCCCGCCCCGCCGCCCACCTCGGCCGCGCGCAGGCGCCGGAACTGCTCCGGGGACGGGAAGACCGGCCGGCCCAGGCGCTGCCACTCGGCGGCGGGGCTGCAGCACCGGTTGTCCAGGTAGAAGGTCACGTACACGAGCCCTGCGGGCCGGGCCGAGCGGACAATGGGCCCGCCTCCCGCCCCGGCCCCGCCCCCGCTTCCCGGACCCCGGCCCCAGACCCCACCCCCGCCCCCCGGACCCGGACCCGGACCCCGACTCCCGGGCCCCGGCCCCGACCCCCGCCCCGCCTCCCGGACCCCGCCCCCGACTCCCGGACCCCGCCCCGGCCCCCCCCCCGGCCCCAGACCCCGCCCCCGCCTCCCGGACCCCGCCCCCGGCCCCAGACCCCGCCCCCGGGCCCCACCCCCGGGCCCGACCCCCGCCCCGCCTCCCGTGCCCCGGCCCCGCCCCCAGACCCCGCCCCGGGCCCGCCTCCCGGTCCCGGTCCCGCCCCCCGCCCCGGGCCCCGCCCCCGGGCCCGCCTCCCGGACCCGGTCCCGCCCCCCGCCCGGGGCCCACCCCCCGGGGCCGCGCTCACCCGGGCCCGGAGGCACCCCGCGCAGGGTCACGGTCACGGCGGCGCTGCGGTTGGCGTGCGCGCGGGTGTCGTCGCTCGCGAAGACCAGCAGGGCGGCGCGCCAGGCGTCGGCGGGCCCGGCGGGGCGATGCGCGCTGGCCAGGGCGCCCACCGTGTGGTTGGCGTCCAGCACCGCCCCGGCCCGCGACACCTGCGCCCGCAGCTGCTCCCCGTCTGCGGGCGGGAGCTGTCACCACCCTCGCCCCCCGCCGGGCCCCGCACCCTCTCCCCCCGCCGGGCCCCGCACCCTCTCCCCCCGCCGGGCCCCCGCACCCTGACCCCCGCCGGGGCCCCGCACCCTCTCCCTCCGCCGGGCCCCGCACCCTCTCCCCCCGCCGGACCCCGCACCCTCTCCCCCCGCCGGGCCCCGCACCCTGCCCCCCGCCGGGGCCCCGCACCCTGTCCCCTCCGCCGGGGCCCCGCACCCTGTCCCCTCCGCCGGGCCCCGCACCCTGTCCCCCGGCCAGGCCCCGCACCCTGCCCCCCGCCGGGGCCCCGCACCCTGTCCCCTCCGCCGGGCTCCGCACCCTGCCCCCCGCCGGGGCCCCGCACCCTGTCCCCCCCGCCGGGCCCCGCACCCTGCCCCCCGCCGGGGCCCCGCACCCTGTCCCCTCCGCCGGGGCCCCGCACCCTGTCCCCTCCGCCGGGTTCCGCACCCTGTCCCCTCCGCCGGGGCCCCGCACCCTCTCCCCGCGCCGGGCCCGCGTGGGGCCCCAGACACACCGCAGCCTCTGGCCCCCCCGCAGGCACACCCCCGGCTCCCCCCTCGGGCTGGAATGAGCCCGCCCCGCAGCGGCTCCGGCGGGACCGGCGGGCGGACTGGCGGCTCACCCAGCAGCGCCAGCAGCGCCATGGCCGTGAGCACCGGCTTGCGCAGCAGCTGCACGTGCGGCGGGCGCGTGTCGTTGACCTGGAAGCGCGCGGTGAGCGTGCGCTGCGCGAAGGGGTGCGGGTGGAAGCTCAGGAAGGCGTTGTCGTTGCTCAGCAGCGCGAGGCGGGCGGCGCCGGGGGCCAGCGGCAGGTCCTGGTGCTGCGCGATCACCTGCAGCACCGACCGGGGCTGGCACCGGGCGCCGGGGCTGGGACCGGGCACCGGGACCGGGCACCGGGCGGCTGGCACCGGGCGCTGGGACCGGGCACCGGGCGGCTGGGACCGGGCACCGGGCGCTGGGACCGGGCACCGGGCGCTGGGACCGGGCACCGGGACTGGACACCGGGTGCTGGGACCGGGCGCTCGGACCAGACACCGGGCGCTGGGACTGGGCACCGGGCGCTCGGACCAGACACCGGGCGCCGGGACCGGGCACAGGGCGGCTGGGACTGGGCACCGGGGGCTGGGACCGGGCACCGGGCGCTGGGACCGGGGGCTGGGACCTGGGCCCTCCGCCCCGCCTTGGAGGGGCCCGCCCGCCGCCCACCTTCACCACCATCGCCGCGTAGGTGACATCCGCCCGCCACGCCTGCGGCAGCGCCCAGCCCACCAGCGGGTCGGCCTCGTCGTTGTAGATGGGGGTGTCGGCGAACCCCGGGAACAGCCGCCGTATCCGCCGCACCACCTCCCTCTCCTGCTCCAGGATGTGGATGGAGCTGCCGGCGCCCTGCGTGCAGCCGGGTCTCAGCACGGCGGCGGCCTGCACCCCGGACCGGCGTCGCCCGGAGGCGCCCGCGGCGCAGGCCCCGCCGTACCTTGCGGTGCAGCGCGATGAAGTCCAGCCGCACGCCGCGCGCGCCCGTGAAGAAGTTGGCGCCGCGCTGGCAGTGCGCCAGCAGCCCCCAGCTCAGCGGGGAGCGCGGCGGCGGCCGGAAGGCGTCCGCGGGGCCGCCCAGGCGCAGGGCCGGGCTGGCCGCCCGCAGCCCCTCCGAGCAGGCGTCGTAGTAGTTGAAGAAGCCTGGGGGCGAGGCCCGGGGGCGTGTCCTCAGCCCGGAGCCCCGCCCCACAGGTCCAGAGGCCCCGCCCCTTCACACACAGGCCCCGGAGGCCCCGCCCCCTACACACACACACACACACACACACACACACACACACACACAGGTCCCGGAGCCCCGCCCCCTCACCCACAGAGGTGCGGAGGCCCCGCCCCGCCTGGAGCCGCCCCTCCACCCAGAGCTCCGCTCCCACAGGTCCCAGAGGCCCCGCCCCCTCCCCCAGAGGCCCGCCCCTTACACACGCAGGTCCCAAAGGCCCTGCCCCTTCAGCCTACAGCCCGGAGCCCCGCCCCCCCCACACACACTCACCCCTCCCGGAGGCCCCGCTCCCTACACACACTGGTCCGGAGGCCCCGCCCCCAACCCGGAGCCCCGCCCCACAGGTCCAGAGGCCCCGCCCCTTCAGCCTACAGCCCGGAGCCCCGCCCCACACACACACACTCACCCCTCCCGGAGGTACCGCCCACCTTGCAAAGTCATGGACACATTGTCGAAGTCCTTGTGGTCCGGCTCATTCCACGTTTCGAAGTTCCACTTGGACACCTGCTCCAGGCCGTACCTGTCTGCAGTGTCCGTGGGGTGGCGTGTGAGCCCCGCCCCTGGAGCAGGGCTGCCCCGGGTGGGCGGGGGTGTCGGGCTGTCTGACGCCTGCGAGTCTGCCCCGCCCACCACCCGGACCTCCCTCCCCTCTGGCCGTGTGGCTCAGCGGTGGAGCAGCAGCCTATGAACCAGGAGGTCACAGTTCAATTCCTTGGCCGAGCACAGGCCTGGGTTACAGGCTCAATCCCCAGAGTGGGGCGTGCAGGAGGCAGCTGACCCATGACTCTCTCTAATCACTGATGTTTCCCTCTCCTTCCTCTCTGAAATCAATAAAAAGATATAGTTTTTAAAAGTTCACGACAGCCGAAACCGGTTTGGCTCAGCGGTAGAGCATCGGCCTGCGGACTGAAGGGTCCCAGGTTCGATTCCGGTCAAGGGCATGTACTTTGGTTGTGGGCACATCCCCAGCGGGGGGGTGTGTATGTGTGTCTGTATGTGTGTGTGCAGGAGACTGCTGATCGATATCTCTCTCTCATCGATGTTTCTAACTCTCTATCCCTCTCCCTTCCTCTCTGTAAAAATCAATAAAATATATATTTAAAAAATAAAATAAATAAAAAGTTCACGACAGGTTGGTGAGGAGGCTGCAGAGGTGCATGAGCACAGCCAGCCCAGGACCCCTCTCCCCTCGCCCCCGACCCCGCTTCCTCACCCACCGATGTACCTCCTGGCCAGGAGGGAGACCAGGTCCTTCCACTCGAACACCTGCTGCTTGTCTTCAAAGTCGGTGAAGTGTCCAGAGGGGCTGCCCATCAGCTCGAAGCCTGCAACCCAGGAGGCCGCCTGTGCTGCTGCCCGCCTCCCACACAGCCCCCTGCTTCCCAGGATGGCCCACCATGTCGTGCCAAGGCCAGCCCTGGGGGGTGACCAGCCAGGACAGAGGGGCCAGGCCGGGGAGAGCGCCCGGGGCAGAGGCCGGGCCAGCCACTCACCCGGGCGGAGCTGGTTCTCCCGGAGCAGGTCCAGGAACCCATCCAGGAGCGTGAAGTTGTAGCTCAGGCCCTGCCCAGCTGACCTCCTGCAGAAGGACACGGACGTCAGGCAGGAAGAGGCAGCCTGGGGCTGGAACCCAGGCCAGACACAGGGAGAGTCCACAGGTGGACCCGGGATTCAGCTCCAGGCCCCTACCCTTGGAAAAACACCGGCTACGGAAGCTATGCCTCACCGCCTGGTAAGGACTGGTGTAAATAGTTCTCTCTTTTCCGCATCCAGCACGGCTAGAGAGCAGTCCGGCTCCTGAGCAGGGGCTGCTGGGGATTGAGAAAATGAAAGAGACAGACGCAGAGATGGAAGGGAAAAGCTGGGGCCGAGTGGGACAGCTGTCCTCTGATGGAGAGACAGAGACCCAGAGCTGATACAGCGCGTTTATTTTATACAGAAAAATACCAGGAGGTTTTACTAAAGCCCAGACAAAGGAGATTATGTGCATTCTTGTGGGTTCTTTGCAATCGTGACTTCTGGGGGGTGAGGGTGGGGTGGGGATAGTTGCATTTGTTCCTGGTGCTTGGCTAGATTTGTTTTTATTTTTTTTAATATATTTTATTGATTTTTTTTACAGAGAGGAAGAGAGAGGGATAGAGTTAGAAACATCGATGAGAGAGAATCATTGATCAGCTGCCTCCTGCACACCCCCCACTGGGGATGTGCCCGCTACCAAGGTACATGCCCTTGACCGGAATCGAACCCAGGACCCTTCAGTCCGCAGGCCAACAACGCTCTATCCAGAGCCAAACCGGTTTCGGCTTGGCTGGATTTAGATAATGACACCCACTCCCAGGCACCTGGGCTGAAGGTCAGACTGACAACACACCTGCCTCTGCCACCTGGCAAGGTGTGTGTCCAGGACGCGGCTCTGCCAAAGCCGCTGGCTTCAGCCGGCAATAATCGGAGAAACACTCATGTGCCTTCCCAGGCGCGCTCTGCATTAGTGCCTGTCCTGGAACCCCCAACCCAAAGCCATCCGGGGCTCTGCGCAGCCAGGGCCTCAGGGGCGCGCAGGCAGACAAGTCTGAGAATGATGCCACAGGCTAGAGCAGGGAGAATCAGCATTCTGCAGACAGCTGGCCTGGCCCAGGGGCTGGGGGACAATGGTCAACGGGACCTGCTCTCTTCTGCCCCCTGGAGGCCAGAGCCCTGGCTCCTCTCCCGCACTCCAGGGGGCAATCTGGGCAGACAGGAACAGGGAAGGCCGCTTCCCCTCCCTGCACACATCCCAAAGGCCCGCTGCCCTCAGGGCTCCTGTTTGGAGAGAAATCGGGCATTTCCAGGCAATTAAACAAATCGGACGTGCTGGGAGGGGGGTGTGACAGGGAGCCAGGGTCAGGCGGGAGCGGGCCTTCCAGGCGGCGTCCAGGACCCCATGAGATGGGATCAGCAATCAGAGTGCACGGGGACGGCTGGGGCAGACCCGGCTGTGGGTGTGGGGATGAGGTCACACGGGGCGGCAGCCGCAGTGAGGAGGGACCCGACTCAGGAGGAAAAGGGGAGCCCCGTCAGAGACCCAGGGAGAGCAGTGCCATGACTTTTTTGTTTGCTTGTTTTCTGTTGTTGTTAATCCTCACCTGAGCACAGTTTCCCATCGATTTTTAGAGAGAGTGGGAGAGAGAGGGGAGACAGAGGGAAACACTGACATGAGAGAGACGTCGATGGGTTGCCTCCTGCACCAACCAGGGCCAGGATCGAACCTGCAACCCAGGTACATGCCTTTGGCCGGAGTCAAATCCGGGGCCCTTCAGTCTGTGAGCTGACGCTCTATCCACTGAGCCACACCGGCCAGGGCTGGGCTTCCTCGTTCTTAAGACTTTTTTTTTTTTTTTATAGCAGTTTTAGGCTCACAGCAAAATGGGGGAGGTGCAGTAACGTCCCATCCCGCCCACAGCCTCCGGGATCAGCCTCTGCCCAGGGCGGGAACTGACGGCCAATGAGACGCCGCCAGCACGCGTCGCCCAGAGCCCTCAGTGGCGATGGCACCTGTGGGTTTGGAAAGATGTCGATGACCCCTCTCTCCGTCCCACAGTCTCAGGGCCCTAACCCCCCCCCCACCCGTGACAAGCACGTCTCTCCCTGTCCTCAGTGGTGCCTCTGCCTCGGTCATGTTTGACGGGGTTCCCTGGCACCAACTGGAGCCAGAAGATGGTCCTCGGGGGAAGGTGTGGCGTTCAGGCCCGGAGGGCTGAGCGTGTGGGCGGAGAGGGGGGGGGCTGAAAGGGAGAGGGGGCGACCAGCACATGACAGACCCAGGGGAGCTGGGGGGGTGTCTAGCACAGCCCTCATTTCGGCTTGAGCAGTGTGGCAGGCAGGGGTGTGGTGAGAGGCAGGGTTGCGGTGAGAGGCAGGCAGGGGTGCGGTGGCAGAGGCAGGCAGGGGTGCGGTGAGAGGCAGGCAGGGGTGCGGTAGCAGAGGCAGGCAGGGGTGCGGTGAGAGGCAGGCAGGGGTGTGGTGAGAGGCTGGCAGGGGTGCTCCCAGGTCCTCTCTCCCCACCCCTCACGGCACCCCATCAAGGCAGAGCTGGGCCTGACCTGCACAGCCCACCCACATGCACAGCCTCCTGCTGCCCCTCGCTGGCCCCTCTGTGCAGGGGCCTCTTCCCACTCTGGGCCCAGCAGGACAGGCATGTGCACAGGACAGGCGTGAGCCCAGCAGGACAGGCGTATGCACAGGACAGGCGTGAGCACAGGACAGGCGTGAGCACAGAAGGTCAGGCATGTGCACAGAAGGACAGATGTGTGCACAGGACAGGCGTGTGCACAGGACAGGCGTGAGCCCAGCAGGACAGGCGTGTGCACAGAAGGACAGATGTGTGCACAGGACAGGCGTGTGCACAGGACAGGCGTGTGCCCAGAAGGACAGGCCTGAGCCCAGAAGGACAGGCGTGAGCCCAGAAGGACAGGCGTGAGCCCAGAAGGACAGGCGTGAGCACAGGACAGGCGTGAGCCCGGAAGGACAGGCGTGAGCCCAGAAGGACAGGCGTGAGCACAGGACAGGCGTGAGCCCGGAAGGACAGGCGTGAGCCCAGAAGGACAGGCGTGAGCCCAGAAGGACAGGCGTGAGCACAGGACAGGCGTGAGCCCAGAAGGACAGGCGTGCGCACCTCGAGGATAGACCCCTCCCCTCACCACCTCCCTCCTACCCAAGGTCACACCCAGTAGCATAAGAGAAAGCTTAACAAGCACCGGGTAAAAATTAAGTGCCGGCGGCAGGTGGGTCCAAAGTCCCACAGATGTGGTGGGGGCCGTGCAGAGAGACAGGTGCAAACAAGGTGACCAAGTGTGAAGGCTCAGGTCCCCGCACACCCGCCCTCAGCGCTGGGCCGGGCCCTGCTCGGCCGGCCAGTGGGGTGCCCCCGGGCACAGGGGGCCCAGCCTCAGCCTGTCACCTGGATGAACGGAGTGTCTGCAGGCTGGGCCAGCTCGGGCAGCCAGTGCACCTGCCCCAGGGCTGGAAACCCCAAGGCGAAGGCGAGGGCTAGAACCCGGGGCAGTGCCCCCACCCTGCTGGGAGGGAACTGGTGCTGTAGTCTCAACGGGGGGCTGGGCGGTGAGGTGACCCACTGCGGATCTCAGGACTCACACTCACACACACACACTCACACACACTCACACACACACACACACTCCTGGCAGAGGCCGTGCTCACATGCAGACCAGGCTGCTGCCCACCCGCAGGGCCCTCCATCCTGCCGGGCAGCAGGACGCGGGTCTGCGGTGCCCAGAGCAGCCTCCGCACGTGGCCAGGGCGCGGCGGCACAGGGCCCATTCACGGCGCTGGCCGGCTGCGCGGCCGGACCCCCACCCCAGCCCCAGCCAGGGCCTGAGCGCCTGGCCCGAGGACAGAGCTGCGCCCGCGGCCGGTGAGTGCGGACCCAGCCCTCGCCTGCTCAGCGGGGAAGGTGGGGCGGGGCGCGCACGGTGGGATGTGCGGGGCTCCCGGAGGCCGGGTCTGCCCTCCCGGGGTGGGGGAGGGTGTCATGGGGCCAGGAGGCGGGTGTGCTTGGCCTCTGGCTTCCTTCTGGGCCCCGGGAGGGAGCGCTCACACACGGGCTTGGGGAGGCGGCGGAGGGAGGGGGAACTGGGGTCTGTCCGCAGGGCCCTCCACTAGCTGCCCTTAACCATGAACACCTCGGAAGGAACACAGGAAGGAAACAGCCGTGTGGGTGTGGCTTAAGGGGCAGGCGGCTGGTGGAAGGCCCCGGAGACCCCAGCCCTGCCCTGCGCCAGAGCCTGCTGCTGGGGGGCGGGGCACAGGGCCCCTCCACACACAAGGGCCCAGACCACGCCCGGCACTGTCACCCAGGGGATACCAGACAGGAGAGCAGGCCGAGGTGCTGGTGCGGGTGCTAGGCCCGGGGTCCTGCCATTCTCTCCAAGATGCTCAGCCAGGTAGGCGCTGGGGGTACAGGCTCAGTCCACACGGCCGAGGACAGCCGAGGCCAGGCCCCACGCGGCTGACAATGGGGCGCACGGAAACAGCCCTCCCCGAAATGCCCACCGGCCCAGAACCCCACCACAGGTGCTAAAACCCAGACCGCCTCCCCAGTCCTGCCCGCTCCTGCGAGCGAGGGCCCCCTCCTGCATTAGGGCTCCCCCAAATGACCTCCCCCTTCCTAAGCCCCCCACATCCTGTCCCAGCCCCCATGCACGCGTCTGCACCCCAGACCCTCCGCGCCTCGTGCAGGTGCGTATGGTATTGATTTCAGAGCAGAAGCGAGAGGTGGAAACATCAAGGATGAGAACCTGGACGGGCTGCCTCTGGCACGCCCCACACTGGGGAGCGAGCTCCAACCCCGGCCTGTGGCCTGACCTGGTCCACGCCCATCCACCGCCATGCCTTTCGGGCAGGGAGCCCAGGGGCGTTCCCTCACCGCCCTGTTCGGTAGCGGGTTCGGGAGAAATTGTTTTATGACCCGCAGTGGCTGCCCTACCCACCCACACCTCTCTTGGAAGGGCACCCCATCTGCCCCTCGTTGGCGCCCGAGGCTCTGGACTTCCGTCTGACTCACCCCGCCCGGACCTGGGCCAG